CTCCGGCGATGGAAGCTACAGGTAAAGGAACCTCTTCCACGTCTTGACGAACCCGGCCTTACGTTTTCCTCAGCTTCGGTGTCTGCAGATGGACTGTGGCGCCGGATTGAGGTTAGTATAACAAAGTTAGTGTGATTAATGACAGCGAAGATGCCGAAGCTACTTCAATCGTCTTTGTTGGGTGGCCTGAAATATCGTCGCAATACTGTCGCAGCGAGTGTTGACTGTTTATTTTGAAACGAAGTTGATATACTTCACTCGAAGGATGGGCCCCAGCAAGCGGTGGTCAAAAACCTCCAGTCTTCGCTCGTTTTCAATGCGCATATCCCAGAGTTCACAAATACAGAGGAAGACCGACTGGACGGACCGACGGTACACACGGATCTTCGTGGCGATAGAGATGTCGCGTCGGATCTTTGATGCCTTTGGAAGATTGAGAAAACCCGGCGAGTCACATCGATTCGAGAGAATGTGTCGTTCTTACTCTGTTAATTCGGCAGCAGCCTCGGCCTGAGGTATTTAAAGCTATATCCTTCTTTAAGCTGACTGTCATTAATCCCCAGGGGTGCCTACGCCTGCTCAGGGATGCAGCTCGAAAAATAATTTGACCTTTCTAGTATTTATAGACAAGCTAACCGAAGTAACGATCGTACTCACCCGTGACACTACAAATTGTAGATCGCTCAAGCTTTAGACTAGCAAGGTGATACTGTCGACGTAGTTCTACATATTGGAATGATACAACACTAAATAGGCTGGGGAAAAATTAAAAAACCGCTACGAAAAATACAAAAACGTTAATCGGTTGTTTGTGAAATTTGAGGTGCATGGTGCCTGGAGTTGGCCTAATTATCGGCAATAAAACTGTTAACGTCGCGAATTACGTTGCTGAATAAAAAAAACTATTACTATCTATCACTAATTTGGCAATGCTGCTGTCTGAGTTCTGCTATAGGCAACTCGCCAAGCTAGTAGAATGGCTTTTGAATGCATTTCTATGCCGGTTTGTCGTCATTTTCCGCAAGTGTGAGAGAAAGCATGATTGTAGGACCTAACGTGAACTGTCAGATTTAATCACTGCGGCATAGACGGGTAAGTCTAAACGATATATCAGTTGCCCTACAGACTGACGGCTTCATTTATGACTACTGCTGATGCATTTTACTTCGATTTGGTTAAGCGAGATCCGATTTACCTGTGCTGGGTAGCAAGACGTCTGGCACGTGACAGTTTGGTGCGGAGGAGAAATGAACTTTCAGGCGTGTGCGGACAGGAAGCGTGCAGCCTAGTTACGTTGCCGTAGATCTGTTATCATGAACTTGGCTACAACAACGTTAACTAACTTGAATGTTTGCGGTGAAACTGGAAGCACGTATTGGTGCCGACCGCGCGGTGCTTAATGGGAATGTTCAGCATTTTTTCTAATATTATCGCCTCGGGAGCCCAAACCAAAAATACCAATAAGGTGATCATTTAAAGAGGCACCCAGCTCAGTCAAGCAGCAAAAATCAGCGCATTACTGTTAAGGAATAGTTTTATTAATATTTGTGACAACAAATGGGTTTCTTTAGCACACTGATTAGCAGCAGATTTTTTGAGCACATTAGGACGAACAAATGTTTGAAAAGTGGCTTTTCCGTCTACAGTAGATGTGCTTTCTCATGAAACGTTAACCGAAATTCTGAAATGTGTTTTA